ATTTCAAACATTTCCAAACTTACTTTCCACAGTCAGGGGTAATTTACATATGATCCATTTTGAAGACCAAGAAATGGTTAAGACAAGCTTACTTGTCTGCTTCAAGATGCCTGTGACCTTTATGATCCTAAGTCTGGCATAATTTCAAAATTTCAAAATTTTGAGACACATAACTCAACAAATCTCCTTCATAATATATCTTAGAATAACTAGACCCAAAATTTATCATTTTTTTATCCAAAAAAATTAATATCAAAAATTAAACTATCTCATATTAGTATTAAACCTTAAATCAAGCATTCGAAGTCAACTTTTTGATCATTTAATGGGGGAAAAGATGTTATTTGGGGCTTGTGAAGTAAGCATTATCTTAATTATTCATTCAGAAGGGATGGGAATATTACTTTCCTAAATGAAATTGCAGTACTCTGATTTGGCATTTCCTTAAAAAGATCTGAAACAATGAAATAACAGCTGTAATTCTGCCAGTTGGAACCTTAAATGGCTCACAGCACTCCCAGGCCCCGCTTTGACAGTTGGGTTACAATGTGGTTTCAGAGCAACGCTTTTAAGCGTGGTATATCCCTTCCTCCAATACTGGCATGAATCCTTAAAGCTTCTTAACGATGGATGACTCTGAAATACACCAAAAGTATTCTCTATGGCATATTTTTTATTTGTTTATCCAAATTCCCTAGCTTTCCAAATTTCCCTTTATGATCTGCCTTGGAAGGATTGTCGCCAGTTTATTTGAGAAAAGCGTTAAGTTCTCACCCAGACAGGACCGCCCAGCAGCCCCACCGAGCGCACTATCCTCCTCCGTTCCAGCTCCCAGCACCTCAGACTCTTGTGTCCCTAAGCATCGCCTCTTACACGTGCTGATTCTCAAGACCCTCTGAGTCGGACCCTCTGAGCTAAAATCTGGGGCTGGGCCTGAGCACCAGCATTTTAACAGACTCCCAGGCCTGTTGAGAAGTGCTGTCAGGGACTCAGTTCTGCCCTCTCTCTGGGAGCAGAATACCTGGGGAGACCTGGCCCAAGGGAGCTTAGGATCTCACCGGCGATGCGCTGCATCTGTGGCTCAGGTGCCTGTGGTCTCCTTGGCTTTACCTGCTTCCTCAGCCTCTGCTGCTCAGAACCCCCACCCCTCCCAGGCCCAGGTGCTGCGCTCCTCAGTCTTGAGTTTCAAGGGCCCGGTACGTTTTTTCTCTCCCTGTGCATCCTCCCTGTCTGCTCGCCTCTGGCTTGGTCAAACCCTCCAGCCTTGATCTCTAGCCTTCCTCCCTCCCTCTCTCCAGGCCCCAGGTCTACCTCTTCTCTCCTGCTTGGCCCAAACCTGTTCCAAGATGCTGACCCCTGCATCCTCTGGTAGAACCTCTCTGCTGGCAAAACACACCCCTTGGTGTCTTTGCTCTGGGTGGCCTGCCTGCCTGCTGTCCCCGAATGCTCCCCGCCCCACCAGCTGCTAGACGCTGTCACATCAGCCAGTCCTAGTAATGTCCGTCTGTCCCACTAGGATCTGAACTACTGAGGGTAAGGATCACCTCTGTCTCCTTCACTGTTTTCCCAGCAGTAGTAGGAGCCTAGTGAGTCTTGTGTGAATAACTGATACTGTTAAAAAAAAAAAAAAAAGCGTGTAAATTTCACCTGAGAGCACGATGCTCACATTGCAGACTCTCTGGCCCCTAAGTTTGTCTGAACGCTGCACCCTCAGCTAGAAAGTGGCTTGTCTTCATCTTCACCTTTACATAGCGACCCGCCTCTGGCTCTTTGGGCCCCGACTTCAATGTCTTTTCACTTGGGAAGTCTTCCTGGAGCCCTGGAGACAGGTCTGGTACCCCTGTTGTTCCAAGTGCCCCTTATATAAACCTGATCCTGTACTGAGCACACTGCCTTCTGATGATGTCTGTTAGCCTAAATTCTCCTCTAGATCAAGAGCACCTTGAGAACAAGGATTGTAACCTCAGCACCCGGCATAGTGCCGGGCATGCAGCTGGTGATCAGTTCCACTCTCTTTGCTGAGAGAGTGGAAAAGGCAGCTCAGGATCCTCTGGGCAGTAAGAGGGGGGTTCTTCTCACATAACCTACCAAGTAAACCACCATAACTCTCACCACACGTGTTCAAAGTGTCAGTGTGTCTCCCCTACACCTGCCACTGGACGTGAAGCTGAATCTGGCCTCTGTGCCCCTACACCGAATTACATCTCAGAGACAGAGTTCTGGGTGAAGTAGAAAAGAATAGCTTTATTGCTTTGCCAGGCAAAGGGGGCCACAGCGGGCTAATGCCCTCAGAACAGTGTGCCCCAACCCAGGGGGGTTTGTGAGGAGTTTCACAGTCAAGGGGCGAGGTTGCTGAGAAGGACGAGGGTGCACGCAGGGTCCGCATTCCTTCAGTCCAGAGATCATCTGGTGTCAGGTGATGATGGGCGAGCTGTGACCTTCTCTGGAATGAAGAGAGCACCATCAGGTAGTTACATCTTCCATTTGGTGGGGGCCTTGATTCTGCAGAAGAGCGCAAAGATATTGTTATGTGTGTCCCCCGAGGGGGAATCAGGACCCTGCCCCAAGGCTGCACTATTGTTTCTTGACTGTTCCTCCCTGGTCTCTGCATCCCCTCCCGTCCCTGATCAGCAATTGTTTGCACCTGCACTTTGGAACCCAAGGAAGGGGACACAGAAAGGCTTCTGTGCCCAGGAGCCCCACAGGGTCCTGCTCAGTTTGACAGAAGACTCTTTAAGGGCGTTGACGCATTTGCTGCACCTTTACATCCTGGTGAGTCGTGCAGTGACTAGCGTGGATTAAGTGTCTGTTTAATCCTGTGTTTCCCGGCGAAGACACTCTAGGCATTTTGAGCAGGACAATTCTTAATTGTGTGAGACAGTCCCACATGTCACAAGACACTCAGCAGGCTTCACCCCCACCCACCAAATGCCAGTAGTACCCTCCATGTATGCACGCACACACACACATGCACACGCACGCGCACACACACACACTTGCAAAAGCCCTTGGGTGGGGGTCCAGGAGGAGAACAGTACTGCCCACGGTTGAGAGCTTGTAGTTAGCTGACCTCTTCACCACAGCTCAGTGGGAAGCAGGACGTGGCAGCCTCTGCAGCAGTGCCAGGTGGAGTGTTGCACATGTGTGATCGTGTGAGGTGGGGGTCAGGGTGGCATCTGCGGCCCTCAGTAGAAAGTGGTAACCTGTCTTTGGAATATGACTAAGTAATCTTTTTTGGACGCTTATCATACATTCCAGGCACCAGGCTGAGTATCATCCATGGGTTCTTTAACCCTCACGACAACCTGAGGCCCCAGGTTCCAGAGAGGGAAGCTGAAGCTTAGAGAGTGTCAAGCCACTGACCAAGTTAACAGGGTTGGTTAGCCACAGGTGTCTGACTGCAGACCCGGAATCACCACACTGTGCTGCTGACTCTCTCTGTGCTAGGCTTCTTTAACAAGAACAGACTTCAAAATTCCCAGAGGAAAGAATCCTCTTAAAATCGGTCCTCTCCTATTCATTATAATGTAGAGCGGATGTTTCACAAAATACACTCTGTAATGTTAGTTTAGTGGATGTCAAGTCTTACGAGAGAAACGGGTTCCACGGGCAAAGAAGTTTGGGAAATGCTTTCAAGGGCATGTGCAGAAGGCAATGAAACAGTTAACTGTGAAGACCAAGCAGACCTTGCTAGCCCCCCAGCCTTTCACAGGGAGTCAGGAGGTGCTTTTAGAACATGGAGCAAACAATGGAGAAACTGTAGCAGGAGCTTATCTGCCAGGCAATGATTAAAAACTAATTAGCATTGATTAGGCCACAGGAAAAAACTGTTGAAGGGTGGGTGACCTTTCTTCTAATTTCTTAATAATAATAATAGGTACTATTTATTATGTGCTAATTACTTTAATTATCTTTTGTAATTCTCACTGTTATTACCTCTCTTTCACATATAAAATGCTGAGGCCTAGAGAAGCTGGCGAAGCGACTTCTAAGGCCGCATAACCAATTAAAGGCAGCACCAAATTTGAGCCCAGTTCCCTCTACCTTCATGTCTTGTGATTTTTGAAGACTAGACCCAAAGTCTCCCAGGACTTCATCAGGGTTTCACCAAGGGCTTTCCTGGGTGAACATCCATTGCAACTCCGATCTCTCAGAAGATGCCCATGAGTTCCTTGAATTAGTGGTTCATGTGATACTGTTGCAGGAAGGGGGACCCCTTCCAGGACCCGAGAGTGGGCTCTTGTCTAACACTAGGAAATGAATTGTCCAAGGAGACACATGTACCGACAAAGCAAGAGACTTTATTGGGAAGGGGCACCTGGGCAGAGAGCCGCAGGGTCAGGGAACCCCAGAGAGCTGCTCTGCCACATGGCTCGCGGCCTCAGGTTTTATGGTGATGGGGTTAGTATCCAGGTTGTCTCTGGCCAGTCATCTTGCTTGGCCCGTATTTGGTCTGACTCAGGGTCCTTCCTGATGGCGTGTGCATCGCTCAGCCAGGAGGGATTCCAGCGCGAAGGATTCTAAGAAGTTGGTCGTCTCCTCCCGGAGTTTTCCACAGCACCATGTTCCTTATCGGGACCTCCTGTGTGAGACAGCTCAGGGAAGCGGGTCTGGCCGAGGCGGGCGGTGTCGGTCAGCAGTTCCCTAACAATGCCACTGCCTTTATTCTCAGCATCTCTCTTCAACCGAAATTAGTTATTTGGTCTAAGTACTAAACGTGAAACTTTTTTCTGGTATGAGTTAACGTTTCTCAATTTAGCTACTACGTTTTAAGTTGACAGACCGCTATACTCTGTTACACTGCCTTTTTGGTTTTGGTAGCGTATCCGTGTTGATGAAACAATGTCCATCTGCATAGACGTTCCCTTCCTGGAGTCGGTCCACCCTCCAGGAACAGCCTTAGCGGCCACGACAAAGCTCACCGTCTACCCAGGTTAAATGGTTGGTGGTATTAGCCTCGGACTTCTCACCTTTCCATTTTCTCTTTCCTTTTCAAACAGATGTGGGTGCATTTTTTGAAGAGGGGATGTGGCTGCGGTATAACTTCCAGGCGCCCGGGTCCGGTGCTAAGGAATCGGGCAGCAGGTCGGAGAACTCCCTGGACCCGCAGAATGGGGCCCCGGACCTGGCCCGCGAGGAGATCTGCTTCAGCTTCAGCACCACCAAGGCACCCTGCATCCTCCTCTACGTCAGCTCTTTCACCACCGACTTCCTGGCAGTTCTCGTCAAACCCACCGGTAAGGATGAGGATACCTAGCCTTCTGCCCTTCAGTGTTGTAATATCGGAGACCATCTCCAAATATACACTAAGCCAGGAGTGTCAGTGCGACTGAAATAGGCATCCTATTCTAGAATATACAAATGGACTTACGATCTTTCAGAGCAATCGAAGCAGTTCTAAAGCATATAAACGTGCCAAACACTGAGTCCATTTCCTCTCTGAAAACTTGAGTTCTATGACACTTGAAGTTTTAAGATCTCTTTTTTACAAATAGAAATATTTAGGTTTATCAAGGAGCAAATCTCTCTCATTTCCCAGTGAGTCTGTACAGGTTGGAGACACGGAGGCTACCTCTCTCATGGTCTTGCTCTTTAATGATTGAAGCTCTGCAGCCTTTTTTTTTTTTTTTTTAAACATCTTTATTGGAGTGTAATTGCTTTACAATGGTGTGTTACTTTCTGCTTTATAACAAAGTGAATCAGCTATACGTATACATATATCCCCATATCTCCTCCCTCTTGCATCTCCCTCCCACCCTCCCTATCCCACCCCTCTAGGTGGTCACAAAGCACCGAGCTGATCTCCCTGTGCTATGTGGCTGCTTCCCACTAGCTATCTGTTTTACATTTGGTAGTGTACATATGTCCATGCCACTCTCTCACTTTGTCCCAGCTTACCCTTCCCCCTCCCCATATCCTCAAGTCCATTCTCTAGTAGGTCCTGCAGCCTTTTCTGACAGCTATTTCAGTGTCGTGGCATCTTAAAGATCAAGATTTTCTTCTGTAGGAACTAAAAATTATTATTATTAACCCAATTCAGCTTGAGTGTTAATAAAATAGTAAATTCTTAAACTTCTCTGGGCAATGCTCTGTCGGTTTAAAAGATAGGTGGGAAAAAAATGTTCCTTAGGATTTTTCCCTTTCAGAAATTATTTCTGAAGAAAGAAGCCGAAAATCAGACAAAGATTCAGCATGAAGATGTTCATCATAGTTTATACTGTTATTTATGAAAATAAGAATTGGAAAGGACCTAGGAGTTACATTTTAGGAAAATGGTTAGTAAAAGAGGGAATCACCATTTTATGGAATATCGTGTATCCATTAAGAATAATATTTATGAAGAGTAATTAATGACATGGAGAAAATTTTTATGTAATATTATATAAAACCAAGAAAAGGCATGATACAGCCTTGACTGTACGATATCAGTTTAGCTCTGTAAAAACGATGGACAGGAAAACAGCAGTACTGTGAGCGCAGAGTCTCGTTGTTTGTTTGCACAGTTGACTTGCCTCTGCTGGGTAATACTCTTCCACACATGTCAGATGCTCTCAGTGATCCTGTCCCTGTTCTCACCAGAAAAAAACAGTTCAATCAGGAAGTAGAAAAGTGTACACCCCTGCTCTCTGGAAGTTCACCTGTTAGGTTTCTTTCTCCTGCATCAGATTAAATAGCTGTTTAATCCATCGATGTTCTCCACCCTCATGTCCCAACCTCGCCTCAGTGGGCAGTGGGTTCTCACCTCTAGCTCATCAAGAATGTCAGGAACATGCCTCAGTAGATGCTGTATTGTCTGCTCCTCAAGCCACTGCCACGTTAAAATCTGGTCCCAATTCTATCCAGTAACTCACGCCCCCAAGCCTGCACCGGCCCCTGCGAGCACCCACGCGTGTGTCTATGGGCCTTTGTCATGCGCAGGGGGTTTGACTAGTCGTTTCCATATTAATGGCTACCGTGTAAGGCTGCCCGAAGCTGTGCTAAGTGTTTCACATGCATTAGTTCCCAAGAGCACACACTCTATAAGGCAGAGTCCATTCTTACCCTCTTCCTGCAGGTGGTAGACTGGAGTGCAGAGAGATTGGGTGATTTGCACACTCAGCTGGTGGTGGCACAGCTGGGGTTCCTGAACCCAGGTGTCTGATGCTGGACCCAGAGTTCTCCACTGCCCTGCTTAGAGACCTCTAGAATACTCGGTGCATTTGCAAAGCATGGACAGTCAGTTTCTCTCTAATTATTGCAAGGCCGTCCTCAATTGCTAATGAAAATTCGGCTTTTTCGTACTCCAAATACTGCATTTTTTATGAATTGAGATTTAAAGCTAGAAAAATTTGAGGAACTCATTGAGGGAAAAGAAATCCATAAGGACTAAGCCAAAATGTCATTAAAATAAAATAAAAAGTTCTAACTAAATGCCATGGCATCTCTTAAACCTAACATATCGGAAGCTGTATTGTCCTCACGGCTCCCAGAACCAGGCCCCTCTTCTTCTGACAGTGCTACCGCTTCTCAGACACCAGAACTCACAGCCTGGCCTCATTCATGAGCACTCCGTCCTTCCGCCTCTTGCGGGCCATCCAGCCTGACAAGTCCTGTGCATCCTGTTCTCACCGTGTCCCTCCAGAGTATCCCTTCCTTTGCTTCCCCACTGCTACTCTCCTGGCAAGTGTCTTCTGATTCAGCGCTTCCCGACATTGCTGCTGGCGTGGCAAACATAGAATGTTATCTTTGAATGGCACCTGGGCAGATGCATGAGGTTGTGTTTGGGAGGCCCCCAGCCCAGGGACTCCAGCAGGCCTTACCTCCACAGACCTGCCAAGGCCTGAGGGTAGCCGGGCTCCTGGCACCCCGTGACCCCACCGTGGGGTACCAGTGCACCTCAGCACGTCCCTGGGATGCTCTGTCCCGACCGTCTCTCTGCTTCCAGTCACGCTAACCTTGCCCAGCCCAGCCAGAGTAGGTCTTCCTTCACACACAGTGTCCCTGTCATACAGCCAGGAGGGCCTCCTTCCCCAGGATCAGGAGGACAGATCCCGAGTCCCAGCAGCTTCCAATCAGGACCCACCAGCCTCTTGAGTGAGCGCTCGGAGTGCAGAACCAGTAAGTCTGGGTTTGAATTCTGCTTCTCTGTTTGCAGATTGTGGGATCTTGGGCAGCCGTGAGCCACTCGGAGCCTCTGTCTCATCATCTGTTACATAGTTCTCCCTCAGAGCAGTGCTGTGGAAGTCAAATGAGTTAGTAAGCGTAACACACGACACACACGCACACGCACGCACACGCGCGCACACACGCACGCACACACACACCCCCACACACACACACAAGCACGCACACGCACACACGCGCGCACACACACACCCTCACACACGCACACACACGCACGCACGCACACACGCACGCACACACACACCCTCACACACACACGCACGCACGCGCGCGCGCGCACACACGCACACGCGCACACACGCACGCGCACACGCACGCACACACGCACGCGCACGCACACACGCACGCGCACGCACGCACACTGTATGTGTGTGTGTTAGCGGTTATTATTATCCAGAGCCCATGATTTAATCTACGTTTTGCCGCATATTGAGGCCACGCCTCCCTTCTCTCCCTTCTCCAGGAACTCTTCACTCCTCACACACCCCAAGGACATCTGCCCTGCTGCCTGCTGTGCTCCCTTATCTGGAAAAGCTCCATCTTCCTCTGTAGCTTAATACCTGCCTTTCATTCTAGACCCAGATCAAGTCTCACGTCCTTTCAATGACTTCTCCTTACTTTAAACTCCTATTACACTTATTTTCAATGTCATTTGTTTGGCTTTTAGTACACTGTATTGTTACCCATCTTTGTTATAAATATGCCGTGTCTTCCCACTGAGATGAAAGGCCCCCCGTACTACATCTGCGTACAATAGGTGCTCTGTAATTGTTTGCTGATGGTAATGATGATGACCGTAGAGAATAAATCTGTTAAGCACATTATTTGCTGCAGCCAATAATTGTCCCTTGTAACTGCTTTAATTCACCCGGGAGATGAACATGAGATGCAAGAAGTGAAGTATCACTCCATCTTAATAATATTTTATTTTAATGAACAAATATTAATATTCTCCTTCCCATCATTTAGTGGTTTTCTTGTGCTGTTGTTTGAAAGGAATAAATATTTAAATTTTATTATTCAAGAATATTGCCATTACTGTTTATAGACGTTCACTATATATAAATTTTAAGGTCCAACTTATCTTTTTCCTCAAAGCAAATCATTTCCATTACCATTAAGTGAAGCAGTTAGAGAAGTTTTACATCATATTTACAAAGTCCAAGAAATCCAGGAAAGAGAAAAAATAACGAAAACAACTTAATACTGATTTTAATGAGCTGGAGAACGTAAAGGGGCCAATGACGAAGAGACAGTAAGGAGAAAAATGTCCAGGGTTTTGTGGGGCTTTTTTGGCATAATTACCAGTTCCTCCAACTCCCAGCCTCAAAGGCAGAGCCCTCTCTTACTTCTCTTTGCATCCCCAGATCGAGGCACGGCCTGGCCCATACCATACAGGGGCTGGGGATGGATGTCTGTATTAGAAGTGGACTCCACACTTATAGCCAGCCAGGCAGTCCACTTCTAGACCTTGAAACCTTGGGTTCAACAGGGGCACTAAACAAGTATGTTCTAAAGAAATTAAGTTTTAAATGATGAATGAATACAGCTGTGTATTTAAGAAAACTGGCTGGGATCATACAAGGTCAGAGCACCAGAAGTAAAGTGGAGAATAAAAACTCAAGACAATTGACTTGTTTTTTCTACCTGTAGCCAAACAACTGCCTAATCATCTCCTTCACTGCCAAACAATAGATTGTTTTTAATGCTATTAGAATAAAGAAAAAATAGGGTAAATCACTGAGGAGTGGGGAGAGAAGTAGCTCAGGAAACGGGAGCAACATATTCAAAGGTCCTGAGGCAGGAAGAATTGTATTTCCTAGGGAATAAGAGAAGTCCTAGGTAGCTTGAATGTAAAAAGTAAGAGGGTAAATGGCATGTTTTAAAATAAAGTAACTGACAAGCTGTGATCAGACAAGACATCATAAGCTATGTTAAGAATGTATGTCTTTATCTTCTAAGCAGCTGGAAAGTTTGAAGAGTTTTAAGTGAACCAGACAACCAGTCAGTTACGCATCTTGAAAAGACTTCACTGCTAAGAAAACATGGGAAGGAAGAAAGCACAGAAGCAAGGAAACCATCATCCATTCACTAAACGAGTAGTTATCCAGCACCTACCATGTATCGGGCGTTGTTCTAGACGTTGGGAACTAAGTCATAAAGAACATAAACAAAAATTCTTACTCTCATGGAGTTTACATTTTAGCAGAAGACAGCAGTAAACATACTAAGTACAGTATGTAGTATGTTGTATAGTAAGAACTCTCATGGGGAAGAAAATAAGGCAGAAAAGGGAGAGCCTGGCCGAGGGAAAGGAGTGGGTAAATTCTGCTTCTAATAAGGAAGTCACAGAAATGATCACTGAGAAGACAATATTTGAGCAGGACCTAAAGGGAGTGAGGGGTCAGCCATGCAGATAACTGGGGAATGAGCATCCTAGGCAGAAGACCCAGCAGGTGCCAAGGGCCTGAGGCAGGAACATGCTGGCATCTGGGGAGACAACAAAGAGGCCAGTGTGTTCAGGTGAGGCGTGAGAAAGGAGGAGAATAATGAGAGGTTATGTCAGAGATATGGGGGGAGACCACAGAGGGCCTGGTGAGCCGTTATGGAGATGTCGATTTTTACTCTGAGTGAGACAGGAGGCCATGGGAGGGTTCTGAGCAGAGGACCGCTCTGACTGCCTCGTGGAGAGACCAGGTATGTGAGGGGCAGAGGCCAGGCTGGGCTGAGGGAGCGTGGCGGAAGGGCAGTAGTTAGAATGGAGGGTAGTACAGTAATCAAAAGACGAGGGTGGCTTGGTCCAGGAATAGAAATGGAGGTGATGAGAGCAGTAAGATTCAGGGTGTGTTTTAAAGACTGAGCCAAGAAGCTTTGCTGATAGATCATACGTGTATTATAGGAGCAAGAGGGGAGTCAGGGCTTTTAGGCAGGAATAGCTGGAAGGATAAAGTGGCCGTTAACTGAAATGTGGGAATTGTGATGGAATAGTTTTTGGAGGGGAAGATCAAGAGTCTGGTTTCACGTATGTTGTGTCTGAGGTCCCAGTGCGACACCTCCATTAATGGATTAGTAGTAAGAGAGCATGGAAAGAGGGGACTCGCCTGAGAGTGAAATGGGGTCAAGGGTGATCACATTTAAAGGAGGGACTGATTTGGATCACGTGATCCAGGCAGAAGCCAATGCAGGTGAAGCCCAGGTGGTGGCCGTCAGGTCACTGATAGGGTGTGGCCTGCACAGAGGCCGTGAGTCAGGCCAGGAGCTCTGCGTGCAGGGGCAGGCTCCTATGGGAGCAATACCAGGGCATTCTAGGTGCCAGTGGAGGCCCTGTGGTTGTGGAGATGGGGGAGAGTGGGTGAACTTAGACCCATTTAGGAGACGAAAGTCAACAGTGCTTGGTTGAAACGCTATAAAGCAAAGGAATCGAGGATCAAGTGCCAAGAGAAAACTCAAGTAGTGAAGCCTTGCCAGAGTTGTTCAGAAAGGAGAAATAGGAAATGCAAGTAACTCATGACTGTTCTTTCAATTCCAGGAACGTAGTTCAATATTTTAAATGGCGCATGTAACGCAAAATAAGGAAGGGCAGCATTCAGAAGCTGTTGCATATATTTACGTACACGTGAGGACGTGAGAATTACCTACGAGGAGATATTGCCAGATATTTAGAGTAGTTTACCTTACCTCTGGACGGTGGCGTTTCCAGTGACTTTCTTTCTCTTTTCTGTTCACTTTTTAAGTTTTAATTATGATGTTTTATTTCACAACTTAGAATATCAGTTTTGTTCCTCTGGAAGGAAAATGAAAAAGGCGACAAAGAATCTTTAGGTGATTTACAGTTGGCCAAACTCTTGCTAAATTACTGGCTCCATTTTTAAGCTCTGAGATGTCAAAAGCTATTAACACGAAGATTCCAATTTGAGTAAAAAATGAGATAAAAAGTCGATGGCTTTAAAAATCATAACTAAGAAATAAAAGCTACGTTTGCTGTGCAGATTAATTAAAAGCAGGATATAGAATATTATATTAATCTTTTTGAATATTGCTTGTCATTATTGGGAAGAAACAAGAAAGAGAAAAAAGAATAATTTGTTGAGGCAAAGTGAACGACAACTGAGAGGCGATGAGGACCCATCTTTTTGCCTTTGGTTTGCATTTGGATTGATGAGGTCTCTAACCTAGAATAAAAGCCACTGCTTTGTTTTCTTGGTCTCAGTGAAGCCTCCCAAAATCCCATGGGTTTGTCTTCTGTAAATTATGTTTATTCTTAATATTGTGTGTTCGTGGTTCTTTTACATGCTGAATGTCACACTTTGCCGATGGCATGAGGTCATCCCGGCATCCTGCACTTATTTTTTATTTCACAGAGTATTTTGTGGGGCCTGTAGGCGTCTCCATGGTCCTGTACCATGTATGTTCCCATTCTGCCATCCCAGGCTCAAGCCCGACTTGGGTTGTTTATACCATGTGCTGCTCCAGCTTGGAGATGACGGTCACCGATGGCTTGTTGTTGGTAGATTGTCAACATGCGCGTGCCTGGTGCCGTGAGCCTTTATGGATTCGTGTGCCTCTGAGCTAGTGACTCAGAATTCAGAACGGCGGTGACATTGATGGACGTTGAAGCCGAGTTTAATGGAATTAGCCTCCAGGGGTGGGGGAAGTGACATTAAAATGAAATCCAGAGTGGAGAAATGACTGAGTTTCTTTTCTTTTCTCTGTGTAGGAAGCTTACAGATCCGGTACAGCCTGGGTGGCACCAGGGAGCCATATAATATTGATGTGGACCACAGGAGCATGGCCAATGGGCAGCCCCACAGCGTTAATGTCACCCGTCACGAGAGGACCATTACTCTCAAGGTACACACGTGTTACTCATCAAGCGGATGTGATACAGGGTTGCAATCTCTGTCCTCTGTCATGCTGGGCTATTGGTTTTGTTTTGGGCGGTTAGGACAGGTGGAAGAGATGCTTCTGATACTTTCTTCTACAAATTTCTAACCTGTGAAGTAAAAAGATATCCAGTTCCGGGCCTCCCTGGTGGCACAGTGGTTGGGAGTCCGCCTGCCGATGCAGGGGACACGGGTTCGTGCCCCAGTCTGGGAGGACCCCGCATGCCGTGGAGCGGCTGGGCCCGTGAGCCATGGCCGCTGAGCCTGCGCGTCCGGAGCCTGTGCTCCGCTGCGGGAGAGGCCACAGCAGTGAGAGGCCAGCGTACTGCAAAAAAAAAAAAAAAAAAAAAAGATATCCAGTTCCTACAGGAAGGACAATGACAAAGTTGATGGAGAAGAGATTTCTTGGGAGAAGGTAGAATAAATGTTTACTCTGTACGTTCTTTGTAGCTTTCCTGCTTGTAGCCTTGCACATCTATCGGCCTACTGCTTTTATCCATTGCAGCATCTTTTCTCTCCATGGTCTCAGATGTCTGAAGCTTATCGCGTTTCCCAGCAAAGGTTATTTTGGTTTATCTGACCTACTTCCTTCACGACTCCAGTGCAATGTGAATAACTATTTTCTTTTCTTCTTGCATGCTTTGCCTTAAAAATCCTCAGTACACAAACCTTCCCCAGCATCTCAGACCCTGGTTGTAGGCTTTCCGTACACAAAGGGACGGTTTTATTGTGACGCTCAAACTTTATTTCAGGTTCATGGATTGTCCCTACCCCCACGACCGATTTTTACAATGAAGAGACCAGCCTGGGAGACACCATGAATAAAACATGGCATGAGGAGGTCTCCCTGGGAACTAAGGCAAAGATCAAGGCTGGAACTGTCACTGCATTCTCTAGCAGGGGTTCAAAATAGATACCTGTCAGAAGTGCAGCAGGGGGATGCTGTCTTGTCAGTCAAGTGGAATGTCATTTGCAGGGGTTCAGCAGCCTCTCCGACCTCATTCGGATTCGGATTCGGCTGGGAACTGTGGGAAGTTCAGGTTGCAAAGGAGAGGCACAAGCCCCGTCTCTTCGTGAGCACTGGCGGATGTCAAATTCATAACTTGATACGGAGTTTACACTTGGCCTTTAGCAGTAAATGCTAGAGAGCATTTTCAGGAGAGGCCTTTCCTCGGAAAATGACAATGTGCAGTTACAGCCTGTTGCACAATCAATCAAATGGGGCATATATAAGCTTCTCTCATAGTGATGGACAGTCGCTGAGTCTAGCGCAGTGCCTGTCACGTGTTAGGTGCTGCAAATTACTTATGGAGTAAACCACGCCCGTCTTCCACCATAACTCAAGTTTGATTCAGAAAAGCCAGCAAGTCCAGGATTAGTATGGTGGTTTATACCATTACAGGAAAGGGGTGGTTTTATACCATTTTATCAACGTTGTGTTTATTGGCTTTTGATTAGAGGCATTCTCTTGTTTTAAAGTGCGCCATCTGTCACCTCTCTAAAGAAAGTGATTGTCTTGCCATTTCACCATTGCAAAATAATATTAAAAGTTAAAAAGAGCTCAACAATCAGGTTGAAGGACAGTGTCAAGGAAGGGAGCTGTCTCAGCTGCGGAGTTTTGCAAGGTTAATCCTCGCTGTCTCCAAGAAAATGCGTTGTGTGTCGGGACCAAGCCCTGTGGGTTGAGGAACCCCATGCAAAGACGAGGGTGGGGTGAGTGGGAGAAGCGAGTCCAGGTGATAGGCTAAATAATTCCATTTCCTGGTGCATTTCCCCAAATGAGAGTCTGGAGTAAAGAAGGTCAAGATGGCCTCCCTTCTGCCAAATTCCACCAACTGGGGAATCTTTGGAAGGAAGCAGCAGCTCTTTAAGAGCAAATATTAGCTTAATCAGAGCTGCTGTCTGCTACAGTAAACGAGAGATTACCCTGAAGCAGGGGAGAGGGATGGGCTGTTTTAAGGACTTGGGGCTCTTGAGGAAAGGCTGAGAAATCCACGCAGTGGAGGAGCCAGAGGCCTGCAGAGTCCAGGGGACCAAAGTGGGGCTGGGGAGAACCGGCTTCTATTGCTCAGGGTTCTTCTGATCACAAAGGACAGAAAACCAGTTCAGAATTCATTTGTAGAGAAAATTCCTAGGGTAGGTTATAGAATTTAAGAAAGGGAAAACCAAAATTTTGAAAGAATGCAGGGGACCTGGAGGATTCAAACAAAGCCTAGGCCACGACCAAATGCCTCTCTCTCTCTCTCTCTCTCTCTCTCTCTCTCTCTCTCTCTCTCTCCCCCCCTCCCTCCCCTTCTCCCTCCTCTCCTTCCCTCCCTCCCTCCCTCCATCTTCTCTGCTTGCCCACCTGCCTCTGGACAATTCCTCTTGCAGCAGGCTTCATCTGCCACACATCATGGGACACAGGCACTGAAGTCGGCTCACATCTTCCCAGTTTTGCTGGGACCAGAAGCAAGGTCCTAGTTTCTCGGTTCTCATTTTAAAATCCGGAGAAGGTCTCTGATTGACCTGGCTGGGGTCACACACTCACCCTATTGTGAGGGGAGGGGAACAGTGACTGATAGCCCCTAATCAAACCTCATGATTAGAGTGGGGAATTGGGAAGAATCTTCCAAGGAACAGGACTACAGTTCCAGGAAAAGGAAACACGATGGGTACGAAAAACTTTGGCTGCACAGTGCTTTGAGGTAAAGGAGAAGATAGAAGTGGGAAGCATTGTAGAAGGCGCGGAACTAATTCGGCCATAGGAATTGTACCCAGGGTGTTGGAAAGCCCTGTCCCCCACCTCCTTCTGTCATACAATGAGATGCAATTGCACTGAGATTTCTGGACATGTTTAGAAAGCAGATGCCTCGACCCACTTGAATGCAGCCTGGAAAGACTTCGTGGTCTGGGGTGCACTGGTCTTTGTCAGCCCAGCCTCTCCAGTCCAGCCCAGATGGAAAACAAAGGTGGACATGGTGGAGGAAGAAAAGATATGGTGCCTGCTTGCAGACAAGCAGGTCGGGCCGATTCCCTGCTCCCATGACCTGCTTTCTTGCAGGCAGGGAAGACTGTAGAGTGTGGACGTAATTCCAAGGGCATCTTTAGAACTCCAAAAAAACACTCTAATTTTTTTTTCCTGGAAACAATCTACAAATCCATCTTGAGAACTTCTACAACCTCAAGAATATATAGAGAAAGATATAATAAAAGGTTAATCGTGATTATTTCTGTGTAAAGGGATTATAAATGGCTTCATTTCCTCTAGAGTTTTCTATATTTCCTCTTTTTTTTTTTGTTTTTAAGCAGAGGTCTTCTTAGAAGCCCATATGATTTAAATTTATTTATTTATTTATTTATTTATTTATGGCTGTGTTGGGTCTTCATTTCTGTGCAAGGGCTTTCTCTAGTTGTGGCAAGCGGGGGCCACTCTTCATCGCGGTGCGCGGGCCTCTCACTATCACGGCCTCTCTTGTTGCGGAGCTCAGGCTCCAGACGTGCAGGCTCAGTAATTGTGGCTCACAGGCCTAGTTGCTCCGCGGCATGTGGGATCTTCCCAGACCAGGGCTCGAACCTGTGTCCCCTGCATTGGCAGGCAGATTCTCAACCACTGCACCACCAGGGAAGCCCCTCGTTTTTTAATTATAAGTGTATGTTGCATTTTTATAATCGAACAAAAATGTAAAACACACATATATCCTCAACCCATTCTGATAGCCCCCAGTTACAATAAAATATAATGACAAATATATTTAAATAATTTCAAATTAAAATGTACTTCTCATCAAAGAACAAAAATGAGGCTAACTCAAAGATGAGTTTAAAAGTGCCATGGAGCGGCTCCCCTGGTGGCGCAGTGGTTGAGTCCGCCTGCCGATGCAGGGGACGTGGGTTCGTGCCCCGGTCCGGGAAGATCCCATGTGCCGCGGAGTGGCTGGGCCCGTGAGCCATGGCCGCTGAGCCTGCGCGTCCGGAGCCTGTGCTCCGCAACGAGAGAGGCCACAACAGTGAGAGGCCCGCGTACCGCAAAAAAAAAAAAAAAAAAAAAAGTGCCACAGAATGTCGACAGATGAATGGATGAAGAAGATGTGGCACATATATACAATGGAATATTACTCAGCCACAAAAAGGAACAAAATTGAGTTATTTGTAGTGTGGTGGATGGACCTAGAGTCTGTCATACAAAGCGAAGTAATTCAAAAAGAGAAAAACAAATACCATATGCTAACACATATATATGGAATCTAAAAAAATGGTACGATGAACCTAGTGGCAGGACAGGAATGAAGACGCAGACGTAGAGAATGGACTTGAGGACACGGAAGGTGATGGGAGGCTGGGATGTAGTGAGAGTGTAGCACTGACATCTACACACTACCAAATGTAAAGTAGATAGCTAGTGGGAAGCTGCTGCGTAGCACAGGGAGATCAGCTTGATGCTTTGTGACGACCTAGAGGGGTGGGATACGGAGGGAGGGAGGGAGGGAGGCTCAAGAGGGAGGGGATAGGGGGATATATATATACATACAGCTGATTCATGTTGTTGTACATCAGAAACTACAACATTGTAAAGCAATTATACTCCAATAAAGATGTAAAAAAAAGTGCTATGGAATGATGCCTTTGGAATTAAGGTAAAATTCTATACATTTATATATGTGCAAACATCATATAATTTAGATGATGTTTGTCAGTGTTTACAGCGTTTTTAAAAGCAGGTTTGCTTTCCTAGCTGGGTTTGGCTAAAGCTAACCTTAAATAAGTTTGCATTCCCTGAGCACACGCTGTCTGAAATGGTGCTGAGCACTTGAGGGAAACTGACCTTGGATGAAGCATTTGCTGCCAAAAGACAAAGTGCCCAATGTCCACACAGAGAATGAAGGACCGACTCAGAGTTCTCAGATGCCAGCGCAAACCAGAGCCCAGGACAACCCTCAAGTTGCATCGTTTATGGAAACTCACAGTTGCACCCGTGATAAAGCTGAA